CAACAATCCTGTGCTAATTTTAATTCAGCGACTCAGGAGTCAGAAGAATTACTGTAATACAATTTTAATTATGGCCAGCGTTGGCAAAGAGCAGCTGGTATCATATTCCCAGCTCTAATGCACATAGAAAATGGCTTTTATTTGTGTCTAATGGGCAGTGGCGTAACAACCGGGGGTGCAGCAGGGGCGCGGGCCCCGGGCGAAAAGTGAAGGGGGGGCGCCGGCCGAAAAAATGGGACATTCCTTTCTAAAGCACTATGGAAAACGGTAGGTCAAAGGTCACCAAAATCCATAAAAAAGGAACATACTTTTGATGCAAAGTTCACAGATATCTGCATCATATGAATTAGCATATCCTAGATAACAGTACCATAAAAACTAGTTTACTCTTTTCCATTAATCAGACTGACAACTGGGACACATTTGAATACCTTAACTTTTCATCTATACAGCAGTAGGCATTTAAGATTTCAGTTTACAAGCGACCAAGTCTTGAAGTCATGTGTCCAGTTCCCTGATATCGTCCATGAAATATTCTAGATGGGTACAATGACAAGGGAAGGGAGCCAGAATTTTAGAATGAGTCAGTTCAGAGTCATAGAAGAAGTTGCAGCTACAGGGCAAGGCATTTGAGAGACAGGGTGAGGCAGGTAAGGTGCAGAGAACAAAAGAAATGCATTCCAAAGAAATTTGAGCTGACAGTCTAGTAACACAGGAGGAGACCACTTGGAAAAAAAGGTGAGCCTAAAGTGAACCATACACATTTAGATTTTGCTCGAAATAGACAGCGGGGATGAAAGGAATCTCCCCTGCTGCGTATTGTATTCAGCAGCCGGCAGCAACCATGGCTGCCAAATTCCCACACATTGACTGCATATGATTAGGCGCAATCACTTTTCGGCACACAATTTTCCACCCAGCTCCTTCGACAGTCAAGTCAAGTAGTTCTAACAGGGCCACCCAAAGCTCAAATTGTGGACAAATTAGCAGGATATGGCCAGCTTAACTATATGTAACGGAATAAACAACAGACAGGCTACAGAAAGATGAGTGAGAAGGCGTGGTAGTGTTTGTGAATAAAATGCTTAAAGTGTATCTAAAGCCAATAATGTTTTCTTGTTCTTTTGAATAGAATGCTGAGTGGATAGAACTTAGGATAGTTCTTCATTATTGTCTGTGTTCCTGCTAGGGAGAATCACCCTCTTTGTTTGTCCTAGTGACCACTGTGACTGGGATTGCAAGTGGAGGGAAATCCAAAATGCTGAGTTGTCACCAGAGCAGGAATTGAGAGGAAACTTGTCAATTGGAATTTTTCAGGTAACAACTGTCTAAGAAGGGATTTTGCATACTTTAGACAGATTTTCTCTTATCTCCTGTTTTGCCTGTAGGATAGGAAGTGAAGAAAATCTTCACACTGCATACCTCCCACAATGTATTTAGGCAATGGACACACCCCTGCAATGTCCCCAGTTCTGCAGACCATTAAGACTTTATATGCCAAAAATAATTAGTTAAACCCGTCTATTTCACCATTACTTCCTTTATATTGTTTTTTTTTAATATAGCAAACAAAATAATTGAAGGATAAGGTTTTAGTGCAGAATAACAGTTTTGTTGGTAAATGCTACATATACATATCTGTACATCAGACCAAAAGGAGGGACAACTGAGGAGGAAAGAAGGTTGGAGGGGTTTGGTTCAAAATGAGAGACAGTTGGAAGGTATGGCTATAGGACAGTTGGCAAAAAAAAATACAGGAATTTTAACCATTATCTAATGTATCAAAAATAAAAAATGTTTTGGCTATAGATACAAGATATCTCTACATTTGTTGGCACTAAAACATGTTTTTGCCCTAGGTAAAGGCGGTTTTATTTCAAAATACATTCATCTCATGTAGGCTGTTTAGATCACTCTGCTGCGATGCTAAAACACGAAAATTCTTGTACTTTTTTTCTCTCACAGAAAGCTCTATAAATTGTATTATAGGTAGTGTAGGAAAACACAGACATTCTTTTCACCATTACCCCTTAGAAACATCAGAGCTAAATAAAACTCAGTATTGCTGTTAGGATCCAGAGCGCCTACAGGTGGCGCTGGAGCTGGGCCCTGCAGTTCCTGGGCTCACCTGCAGGATTCTCCAGGCAGCCAGGGCAGCTAGGTGCCGGACCACCACTGGGTTGTGCTGGTACCTGCAGCTCCAGTGCTCACCTCTGGGTGTCTCCCAGCTGCCAGGAATCAGCCCATTAGCTATTGCTCCTGGGAGTGTATTTAAACCCTCCCTGCAGTCTGGACCTTGGCTCAGGATTTCGTTGCCCTACCCTGTTGCCTGAGGCCTCTGGCCTGAACCCTGAGACCCTGATACCTGTATGCTATCTTGTACCCTGTCTCCTGGGCCCTGATTCCTGTGTTGTTACACCCGTTGTATGTTCTAGGTTTCGGGGTTACATTATTGGTTTATGCCTGTTGTGTACTGTTTCTGTTAGTTTGCTAGGTTTATTAAAATATTTATATATACCATACTTGCCTGGTCCGTGTGGTCACACGTGTTTGGTCTGCCTGTATGGGTACCTGTGCAGGTGTGGGGTCACCTGTGCTAGTATCCCTGACAATTGCATTAGCAAGCGTAACAACAAAGGAGAATACATGCCTGGTTTCTTACATTCCCAATCTGCATTCTTGTTCTGGGTCAGTGACTTGGCAAGTAATTAAATTTAGAGGGCCAACATAGCAGCCACAGGACACAGTAGTGAGGAACCACAACACCCAGAAGGGTTTCAGTCAGTCCAGTTATTGCAACTACAATGTTAGCCGAGATAGATAGATAGATAGATAGATAGATAGATAGATAGATAGACAGATAGCATTTGTTACTCAATATAGGCTTACCAAAGCTTTAACCACCTCCCAACTAGTCATTGTAGTAAGACAGTGGATAGGGTGAGTTGTTATTCTGGTATTATACTAGAGATTAGGAAACTGTTTTGTTTTTTTCCCAAAATGTTTAGTCTTTTTTCTTTATATAGTAAAAAAAGCCCACTGGTTATTAAATACCACCAAAAGAAAGCTCTATTTGTCCACAAAATTGTGTCCAACTCAGTCAGGTGCAGTATTGCATGAGTAATTGTCAGTCAAACTATCACAGCACTGAAAACTGAAAAATGGCCTAGACAGGAAGGGGGTGTAACATGTTAATATCGAGGTAGCTAACATCAGGTTAAGGATCTTTTTGTTTAGTAATGTTATTGTGATTTTGGCTCTAATCTGACAATAACTGTCATTTTTACAGATTGTTTTGAGCCTGAAATCTGAATGAGAAAAAAAGTTTTGTTTTTTTTGGACAATATACAATGAGCCAGTAAAGCTTTATTGTGTAGTACTGCACAATTATAATATATTTGTACTTTAAAATCTGGTAGATGTTTCGCAGTTGTAAGACCCCATTCACACCTCAGCATTTTGTAGCTAGATGCTAGAAAATGCTCAACAATAAAAATCTCATTATCTTCTATGGTGCCTGTTCACACCAGAGCACTCAAACACAGGGGCGTATCTGCTGCAAGGCAAACAAGGTGTTTGCCTCAGGCAGCAGATTTCAGGGGGGTGCCAAAAATGCTGCCCCAAAACCGTTAGGCAGCCGGGAGGAGGAGGCGGAGTCGGCGAGGAGGCAAAGGAAGCAGAGGTGGAGCAGGTGGAAGAGGCAGAGGAGACGGAGCAGCAGAAGGGGGCTAGGTGAAGCAGCAGGTGGGGGCGAGGCCGGGACGATGTCGGATCAGGTAGGGGCGGGGCCAGGGTGCCATCACGCTGTAGGAAGCAGGTGCATGCTGCACAGAACACCGGTTCACCGAAGAGCCGTCGGGCTGCGGAGGAAACCGGGTCCTGCAGCACCAGTCCATCGGTGGAGGAGGCCGGGGACCAAGCAGCAGGTAAGATGATCACACTGCTGCTAAAGGGACCCTGCAGAGCCCAGCCTGGATTCTGCACAGCCCACCTGAGAGTCTCGGGTGGGCTGTACAGGATCTGTGGTGGGGTCTATGTTGAGCAGAGCCCACCACACATCCTGCCCTGGTCTCAGGTGGGGGTGTGCATGATCTGTGGTGGGCTCTACAGGATCTCCGCGCACCACAGATCCTGCAGATTGGGGGGGGGGGTTTCATCTTGCCTAGGGCAGCCCCAAAACAGAATACACCACTGCTCAAACACCTGTAGAAAAACATCTGTCACTCCAAAAAGTACAGGATTTCCTTTTCCGTTAGAAGCAAGTGTTTCAGCCCCATACACTTCATGGGAATGCTCAAAAGCGCGTGCTTGCGTGCATTTTTTTAGGTTCTCCCATTTAAAGGTCTGTGGGGCCAAATAGGCTCAATTCTGCTTCTGCACTGCAAGTAGTGCATAAAAACGCTTGAAAAACATGTGTACAGATGCAAAAAAATATAAAGCCTGTAAATCACCTGGCTACGCTCATGCTCAGATGTCAATGCAGGCAAAACAAAAACATTGTGCTTTATCAGCACTCACTTTCTTCACACCAACAACGGGAAATAAAATGATAACACATTGTTCTTCAAACTGTCAACAAACAAATCCTAGTAACTGTGTTACATAATACAATTGTAACATGCACACTAGCTGTCTTAATGACATATATTCAACAAACTATTTCAGAAATCCTCCACAACTGCACTCTGTTTGGAATGGTATAATTTACAGTTAATTTGAACTCTGTTATTTGTATGTTCCTGAATATAAACAGGACTTTCATTGTTCATTCTGAACATCCAGGAACATGCAATGGTAAAATGAGATTGTAAAACATGAAACATGTTTAAAATTAAACCTCAAGGTTAATTTGTGTACAATGTACAGAAATAAGGCTTGGCAATATATACTGGCTTATGTTAGCTTAACCAGTTCTATATATACTTATAATATTATATATTGGTATGTATTATAACTTATATATTAAATAAATGATTGTTTCATTGCAAATTAATACTTACAAATTCAAGAATCATAAGAAGATCTGGAAAAGTTGAAAATGTTTTCAATCCTGATGGCAATGGAGAGATGTCCCCATACACAGGTGCTGCATTGGTGGATGCCATTGTGTCAACTCTGTTAGTCTGACAGTTGCAACTGAAGGAGATATGATATGTTCAATAAAAAGTGCCCTGCCCAACAGTGCTATGAGGCTGTGATAAGTTGAAGGCTAGTTACTCAATTCTTTCTCCACCTCAAAGGGGTGGTAAACTAACTCCACCACTCCCTGAGCAATTTTGTTTCACAACTTAGTGCACTGGGATTGTAGAAGAGAAACAATAGCCTGGCTATACAAGAAAATCAAGATCTCTATATAATATCTGACAGGTGCTCTGCCAAGATGTAAAGAGATTGTGGCCAGGATGAAACTGCAGTTACATAGGATATTAAATGATACCATTCCACTTGCATGTTTTTTAAAGAATCTAATGGACGCAAGCAAGGTCTTAAAAACATTTCCATAATTTAAATCCCTAACTCTAAAGGTGCCCATACACCTTACAATTATCGTAAGAAACTTTTCGTCCGATGATCGAACCATCGTACAATTTTCGTACGACGGCCCCATCCTGCCCCAATTATCGCAAGGTTCAATCAACGGTAGTTAAAATAAAATACCTGGACGACTTGCGGTAATTGACCGCAATTATTTTCGTTTGCGCATGTGCAGTGTTAATCGTATGACTTTTGACGGACGGAAACGCCAATAACCATGCGAACATCGTACGATCAACCAAAGTTTTGAAACATGCTTGACCGTCAAAAGTCGTACGATTGTACAGTACTACCGTGCTTCCCCGAAAATAAGACACTGTCTTATTTTTTTTTTTGCACGAAAAAAGACACTAGGCCTTATTTTCGGGGGATGTCTGGACGAGGTCCCGGAAGGTGGCGTGCTGTTGCCGGTCCCGGTGTCGGCGGATGATATTCCGCTTCCATCTTGCGGGCGGGCGTGTGGGCGGGAGCTGCGGCCGTCGGGCGTGTAGGCAATATTACAGAAATCCCTGAAGATAGCGCTAGGTCTTACTTTCGGGGTAGGTCTTACTTTCGGGGAAACACGGTATCGTTCGGGCACTACATTCACACGTTACGATTGTTGTACGAAAAGTCGATCGCATACGATTATCGTACGATAATCGTAAGGTGTATGGGCACCTTTAGCCACACACTATGCTTTGCCAATTTCAAAAGCTGGGAAAGCAGCTGTTCTCCTAAACCAGATATTCAGACCATTGGCCTAAAGGCAGGCAACTGGACACATTAGCATCCTATTTTTATAGGTATGTGCCTTGCATTCTAGGACACATGTAGATTAAGATAGTTGTATACAGGGGTGGACTGGGACTCTGAGACACACCAGAATTTTGATTTGGGGGCCCACCTGCCGAACCCTTCAAATTTTTAAACATGCAACAACTACAGTCTTATACCAACAACATAGCCTTTATTTGTGATGCCACAACTTAACACAAAAGAATAATACTTTGCATTGTATTTATAACACAATAATACAAATGATTTTGTCTAATTTCTACACTCTTAAGGTCCCCACATACCTTACGATAATCGTACGATAATCGCGGGAAATTCCGCGATCGTACGATTATCGTAAGGTGTGAGGAAGCCGTGCGACCTTTACTACTGTAAGGTCGCACGACTTTAAACTTATGAACATGCTCGAAAACCCACCGAGCATCGTACGATGTTCGGCGGGTGTGTAGTATGTTTGTAAGATAAAAGCCGTACGGGCCGGTCATTGCGGTCATCGGAAGCCCGCCCCTCGGGGGGCGTGGCTTGCGATCATCGCAAGTACGATCTGCCTGTGCAAGATAGGCAGATCGTACGTTTTTTTAAGTGCCTTACGACCATCGCAAGACAAAAGTCTTGCGATGGTTGTAAGGTGTGTGCCCAGCCTTATGCTCAGTGAACAACATCCAAGATGAATATAACAAAATATCATATATCAACAACAAAGTTATCACACACTTTGAGGGTTATTCACAAAGCTGCAGAAGGCAGCCGAATGAATAACTGAGCCAAAGTGAACTGAGCCAAACGGCTTTCAGCTATTCACTTTGGCAATGTACAGCTGATTCCAGCCATACATCGGCTAACATCAGCCATACATTGGCTGCCTTCGGCTGGCTTTGGTCCCCGGATTTTTTTTTTTTTAAATGTGTCACCTTACCTTGGCCTGGTGGTCAGTGGGGGCTTCCTGGACCCTGGTTGTGGGGAGGTCTGCTGTGGACCCTGGTTGTAGGGGGGTCTGCCGTGGACCCTGGTGCAGTGGCTCCTTCCTTCATGCACCCACATCAGACGCGGCTATGCGATCCGGGCTGGCTGGATCAGGCAGACGCGCCCTCTAATCAGGCAATGTAGAGGGCCGCCCGCTGTGGCCTTGGAGGAGCGAGCGGCCGCCCGATGACAGTGCCGGGTGCATGTGGCAGAGAGAGGGAGCCACTGCATCTGCGGACAGAGGCTTCGTTTAGCGGGGGTCCCCCCTCCCGCACCCCCCGGTTGTTACGCCACTGTGCAGCACACAGAGGCCCCCCCGACATGCATCACACAGAGACACCCCCCGATTATTTTTTTACAGTTTTTGTTCCAGGCTAGTTTTCACCCCATCAATGGTTACATAGAAAATCTGATAAAGGAACCATTAAGGAGCTAAAGGGGATTTAATCCTGTCACAATTCTCCAGGCATTTATTTCCTTGTGACCTGTTTTTTTTAGGTAAATGACTTTCAATTACAGCTTTGACAGAGTGCTCCTGAAGGGTACTACTTGCATTTGTGACAAATGATTCCACCAGTGTAGTTAAGTTTGAAAATCAATTATTGAGTTCCCATATCTGCCATGTTTTCTGCAGACAGATATGCGTTTGACAATGCTTATTGTGCAGATTCCTCATGATCCCAGACACTATCATGGGGATCATGGCCCACCTGGACTTGCCCACCTGAGCACCAGAGGATCCTCCATTGGGTCATGAAAGTACCTAGTAGGGGCTGCTATTTCTCTAATTGTCAATGTCTTGCCTTCCTCTCTGCGCTGACCTTTCCACCCCCAGGGCCAACAGCTATGTCATTCCCAGCCATGTTAGGAGCACTGAGCATAGTAACTTCAGCAAATATAAAGTATGCCTGACGGCTGCTGCCTGATTGCATCCAGCCCTTCATCCTTCTTCCGCTGTTCTTGCATCATGCACGTGTATATATACACAGGTACTTTTTCAGCTTTTAACCATTAATTAAACCGTTGTGGGCTTGTGTTTTTAAAGATGATAGTACCCCTCTGCAATGACGTCATTCACAACAAAACAAGCCTACAGTTACTACTCAAGATTCTCTCCTCCGACATAGCAGATAGCTGGAGGGTTGGTCGGGGCTCATTGTTTTTTCAGTACAAAGAAGGGAGCAAAAAAAGACGGGGTGCATGATTACAAGCAGTGCTGTCAGAGGCAGTGGGGACGATGCTCTATGGGCTCTGTGTGTACTATCTGTTCCATCCCCCCAATTTTCTCGGTGCGATGTCACTCCGAACTGCAATCTCCTTGCTAACAGCCTTGTCAGATAGCAGTGGAGGAAGGAGGGGCAAGCTATTTGACAATTCTGCTCAACAACACCTGCACAGATTAATACAGGAACAAGTGCTAAGTGCACTGGGTCCCATGGGGAACTTAACAATACTTCTTTAACTTTGACTTTTCTGGTTCTTTTACTAAATAAGGAGGCCCCAAAATATCAACATTACCAGTCTAGAATCAAGTGGTTGACTCCCAGATAAATTATACCATGCTTATTGTACTTAAGAATATAGTTTTTAAAAAATTTTAGTCTGTCAATTATTTTGATTGCTTTAGGCATTTCTTGGTTCACTTACTAGAGCAGATGGTTGCCCACTGTCATACCATGTGCCTTTTCCTTTCTGAATGCCCTGGCAATGCAGCCAGTCAGCTCAGCAAAGCAGTCTCCAACAGCTTACAGGGTTTGTCTATGCGAACTGCTTCTCATTTGGGTGGCAAAACTTGCTGATGGGAGGAGGAGGTCAGGTGGTTCAACATCAGGACATTGGTCTACTCTTTTCATAGTTAGTTATGTTGCTGCCACAGGATGAAGGTGCAGTGGAAAAGAGAGGGTGGGTTCTGGTCCCAGCCAAGAGGCAGCTGTCAATCATGTTAGTGACTTGCTGAAGCTGGTGTGCAGAGTGATAATTAACAGGAATTATGTGACTGGGGGCCCTTGCGATTGATCAGTGCAGAGAAGCAGGCATGACATTGACAGGTAGAAATGACAGACCCCCACTAGGTCCTATTTATTCTATATTTTCAGCCTACTTAACAAGTCTTTGATGCTTCGGTTGGCCAGTCCACCTCTGTTGGCATACTGACCATTTAAAATATCTGTTGTGCTGAAACGCATAGTCTCTTTCTGCAAAAAAAGATTCATAAATACACCCACATAATAAAAGAAAAAATGTGCAAATTTTTCCATTACAACAGCATAAAAACAGAGAGACTTCTTCATTGTTTACAGGAGATTTTTTAGGCCTTGCAGCTCCTTGTGGGCTTCACAGCAATGGAATTGCAGGAGTGAGGACATGTGAGCTTAAGTCTTTGTGGGTTGTAGTTCCTAAAAGTACAGTTATCCTTTAATGGTTATTATTTTCACCAGTTGATGGCAATATTTCCATCAACTTAGATCTTTATCCATATCTTTAAAATAACAACAAGCACACCTTTAGAAATGTTTAGTAATGACAATATACAAACACATACTTCTAGATAATTGCCAGCTTTGTATATCTTATTACTCTTTTCTTCCCCAGTCTCCTGACAGTGGCCATGTTTACTAAGAGCAGATTACTAGCTCTCCTATTACTTCCTGGATTTCTGGCACATGTGACTAGGACATGTGACCCTGCACATCATCTCAGGGGAGGAAAATGTCTTTCCCTGAGATCTCCTGAGATTACAGATGAGATTTTTCAGACAATGACAAGACAATCCCAGTGTGCATTACTTTGGCAAACTGTAATTTTACCCTTTAAAAGCAGGAAGTGAATGCTCTGCAAGTGTAAGTATATCAAAATCACAGTATTTT